GCTGAAAAGTTCATAGGCTGACCAAGATACTCTCATGGAATGTGATCAAATGAGGGTTATTTTTCACCATAGTCCCCCCCTTGCGGTCCATACACTTCTTCCATCAGTGTTGCAGTACTTGGATCTCATTGGTGAAGAAGCTTTCATCCTATTGGTCAAAAAAGTTATCAACAGCAAATATGACGTCATCATCACTGCGATATTGGTCCCCAAACAAACGTTTTTAGATGTTGGGAAACAGATGGTAGTCAGATGGGGCCAAATCAGGGAAATAGGGAAGTTGATCAACCAGTTCAAATCCACAGTCATGCGCAGCGGCCATTGAAAACGAAGGAGTTGAATGCTGAAGAATTGTCCTAATAAAATAAGACCCCTTTCGTCAGTTTTCCCTTATAGCCTTTCGTAACTGCCTTGGCAAATTGACATGGCACTCCCCATTGATTGTGTCGCCGTTTTGAAGATAGTCAATAAACACAATGCCTTTGCATCCCAAAAACTTAGGCCATCACCTTGCCTGCAAATAAAACGACCTTGGCCTTCTTTGGAGCAGGTGAGGAGGGATGTTTCCACTACAAGGATGGTCTCTTTGTCTCTGGCTCAAAGTGATGAACACAACGCTCCTCCTGGGTTCGGTAAAGTTCAGGCAAACCAGCTGGATCTGCCTCAAGCAATGTCAGATGTGATCAGCCTGGTGCACATTTGATCAAGTGTCAGAAGACGTGGCACTCAACTTCATGTCAAGTTTATTGTGCAGAATATTCTCAACTCTCACATTTGCTATCTAATTTATAGTCAATCATTTGTCAGCTATCACCATCAATATTTTTCTCTGTGGCGTTCAGATTTTGGGTAATCTTAAATACTCTCCTAAATTCAGCTGGCCCCTTTTGCACTGTTGATAAAGCTGTAATGTCATTCTGTAATGTAAGCCACAATGTCAGCATGAATGCCCTTGGTGGTTAAAGCCTTTTTTCTGCAGGTACGGGATAACTGTCAAATTTTGTTTATTTTCTGAAATGTCGCTATTAGTTACATTTGAAGTCTTCTTTGAACAGTCAGATGTCAGTTTACCTGGAAAGAAACAATGCAGTTATCAACAAGAAAAGTTGAAAAGAATGCAGACAATGTTTCACAGCTCTAGCATCACTCATTAATATTCAGCCTATGAATTTTCAGCCGACGCTTATACGTGGAACGAAACAATGCAGTTAGTAATAAGAAGATTTGAAATTAATGCATGCAAGATTTCACAGATCTACCATTTCTCCTTCATAGTCAGCCTACCCTTGAATGGCGACTGTTCCATTAATTAGCGGTTCTTGAAAAGTTGTTCGAATGGAACTTCTTTCTTAACAATGGAATGAGGATGGTTTCACCCCTGACTAAATGCCATCGCTGGTCGTAATTGTAAACGGATGAACTGCTGGAACTAGGAAATATAGCTCGTCGGAACATTTTCAATGGAAATAGCGGTAGTGTATCGAACGATAAGCGTTTTAAGTTGGTTAAAGAGCCAGTGTTTTGTATTGTTATTGAAGAAAAAAGAAAACCATTTCAAATTTGTGAAGCGTAACAGATTTCAAGTAAAATTCTTATTTGCACTCCAGATAAAAAGTACGTCACTGAAAAATATTCTGATGCTGAAAAGAAAAATAATCCGTGTAGTCATTTAATTTGAAATGTTTTCTAGCTACACAACATTCGAGTTTTTTCCCATTGAGTGCCATTTTCCAAAGGATGCCGGGAGATGTAACGATAGAACAACGAAAAGAGAACTGAAGATGGGAACAAAACAAATTGAATCTGGAACTCAAACTTGGCTCCCCAAATTCTCATTCCGAAACGCAAGCCATTATACCGCACGTGCATGCACCTGAGTCGCCTTCTTCTTCTCTATGCGCCATGTCTCCTCAGGACGTAGGCGATCATGCCTCTCCACAATTTGCTGCCTTTATTAGCTGTTAATAAATTTTGTTTTGTAACCTAGAAAGGGTTACTAAATGAGGAATAACCGAAACGGAGTTTGGAAATGAAATGGTAATCTTTATAACATCAACAAAATACAATACTCGCCAGCGGCGTGAAGTAGGTAAACCACTGCTAGTGGTGGACTACTTAGCATATCACCCCCAACTTACAATAGTGTTCAACGTATTTATGAGGACTGAAGCATATCCATTAATGTTCATATGTACGGTGTACAACATTTTGTCTTTTCGTTATCTCCCCTAGACCCTGTTCCGCCATCCATTTACTCAACATCATCATGAATGTTTTTTGCGTGTTTTCTTCTGTCCCTCTTGTATGTATGAGATTTCCCAAGCCCTCCTTCCTCATTATGCAACCCAGAAATTTTAACTGTCTCTTTTCTGTCACCCATGAAATAAAAATAATTGTACGGAAAATAAGGATCTACGTACATCAAATCGTCTTTAAATTAAATGGCAGCAGAAGAATTATCGTTGAACTTTTAAAAGGTAAGCTTAAACATTAATTCAATACTGAAACGCAACGATCAATTTTGAGATCTTCAGTAGTTTACTGATGCTTATCACATCTACTCCTCCCTAGCTATTGTGATGATGGCCAAACAAAGAGTCCTCCACAGGAGTTACCTCAAATGGATACAATTTTTGGATACAATAAATAAGTGTTACTTCACTTCAACCATGACAGCAACGATAATGGCTAGTATAATATATTAATATATATTTAAACCTCGCATAATCTGGCAACCCTGAATTTGAGCTCAACGAAAATCGTTCCTTGCTCCTAACTTTTCTAGGGCTTTTGAATGAGCTATGAATCATTGAAATCAACCCAGTGGGAGCGGAGGAGTTGCTTGAACAAACACACGCACAAATACACATGTACTATTCTTTATATATAATATATATTGATTTGTACAAAGTGCGATGGATAAATTGTAGTCTAAATTAAGCAAAAATGAAAATAACATTGACATTTCATTTTAACAGATATATTTACCAAAATTATACAAAAATATCTTGAAATACTGAGGAGTATTTATTCAATAAAATCGCCAGAAGACTTCGGAATCTCCTCCTACTCTTCTGGAAGGTCTCTTTGTTTAAGTTGGTGAATGCTGCCATAATTCTTGTCTTCAGTTCATCTTTGGTGTTAGAAGAATTATTTTTCGTCCCTCACTCAAATGCCTCTCCCACATAACAATCAAGAGGTTGAAGTCTGAGGAGTTAGGTGGCCAGATGTTAGAGTTGATATGGTCACTGAAATTGTCTGTCAGCCATGACTGGGTTCTCCTGCTTGTGTGGCTGGCGTAGAGTCTTGTTGCTAGGACTCAGTTTTGAGTCTGCGTCTCTGTAGGAAGATGAATGGAGGCATAACGACCAAACACCTTCGGTTAAGGCGGTGGAGAACTTGGAGAGGTGAAATAACAGGAGATAACTGATAACTGACATCCATTAGGTATGGCACGTGGAACTAGGACAGTCTACCCCAGTAAGCGAAATAACGGGTTCAGTTCGACATTCCAACCTGAAGAAAGCCGGAGGAGGCACGGCACATAGAGAAGAAGAAGGCGACTCAGGTGCATGCACATGCGGTGTAATGGCTTGCGTTTCGGAATGAGAATTCGGAGAGCTAAGTTTGAGTTCCAGATTCAACCTGTTTTGTTCCCATCTTCAGTTCCCTTTTCGTTGTTCTATACGACATTCCAACCACCTGAAGAAGGCCGCAGTGTACAACGGCCGAAACGTTATAATAAAAATGGCGACAAAGATGAGGCCAATAGTCCGAATAATGTAAATATATATATATATATATATATATATATATATATATATATATATATATATATATATATATATATATATATAGATAGAATAAATACAAAATATAAAATAATATCTTAGCCAACACGTTTCATCCTCTGACCGACTTTATCAAGGTAAATGTAAGCATTTTATTTTGAAAAAAGTATTTGTAACCAAAAGTAAAATTCTCGTTAGTTTTTTTAAAAAATTAAAATTAAGAACGTACATAGATATACATCAGGATACCTGATCAGTCAAGGTAAAATTATGGAGGATGCTAAATGATATAATTTAATGTCTAGTAAAAAGCAAGTGAGTAAATATTGCTGCCGTTGATTTCTTTTTTATTTAACAAAACTTACAACCTATGAACACAAAAAGGATTTTATACACAAATTTATCATACATAGAAATAAATTCAACCATAACTTCGATCGAAACAATATTACACTTATTAAAAGGGAAAGTAATTTAATTTAATCCCAAACTAAAATAGTATAAATAATAATTACATAAAGAGAAATAAAATGTTATTTTTTTGAAAATTTTAAAATTTAACCCTTTGAGCTCTGACCACCACTTTACCGGTGGTAGAGAAAAATGACGTAATGTCCAACTACCGGTTGAACGGTGGGTAGACATTTGTAACTATTTTTATGTCTACCGTGAAACATTGCATACCAATTATTTGCGAATTTTACCCCAGGAGCTCGGGCAGAAGGGTTAAAATTGTTCAGGAACGCAAGGCTTAAATAGTTAAGAACGCTTTATATATATATATATATATATATATATATATATATATATATATATATATATATATATCAGGCTACCCGAAGGTCAAGATAAATCATGGAGGATGCTAAGGGAATTTAATGTTTAATAACCGAAAAGGAGTAAATATGGTTATTGTTGGGTTTTTTTCTAATGTAATTTATTATTTATATTATTTTAGCTTGAGATTAATGTATGTAATATTTGTTAAAAATCTGAGGCGTAGATTTATATTTTAGCAAGATTCGCTAACGACACTTTCAAGAATTTTCTCTCGAAGTAAGTTACATTCCCTTTTAATAAGTTCAGAATTCTTTAAATCGAAGTTGTAGTTGAACTTAATGATTAATGCATTTGATAAATTATGTATAAGATCCTTGTGGTGTTCATACATATATATATGTGTGTGTGTGTGTGTGTGGTCACTCCAGCTTATTTCGTTGTTACCTCTAGCCACCGACCATATAATAACTTGGCAAGCCACAGTACCCGGATATAATTTGGCACTGACATTGAAAGAATGAAGAGGCGGCTATGGTCAATCACTTCGTCCGCCCATTTTGACGTCAGACAACCGGAAGGAACTAAATCAGTTCGCTTGAACACTCGAAGAAACTGGCGCGAAAACGGTTTCTTGTATATCAGACCGACTAGATCGTGAACAGATGCCGTCAACTGACCAGCTCTCGGCTTGAAAGATAGACGAACAAGGCCATAGCCGAGACCGGATTGAGTTTCCCGGGATATATTTAGGCGAAAAAATAACGAGATCCCGCGGCGTTTTGAGCGACGATCGAATGACTGTTGAAAGGGAAATGGAAAAACGACAAAGAAAGAAAGAAAGAAAGAGACCGTTGAAATGTAAACGAAAGAAAGAAAGAAAGAAAGAAAGAAAGAAAGAAAGAAAGAAAGAAAGTAATACATGGAAACAAAAGAGGGAAAAGAAAGAAAGAAAGAAAGAAAGTAATACATGGAAACAAAAGAGGGAAAAGACAGAAAGAAAGAAAGAAAGAAAGAAAGTATAATGAAACAAAAGAGGGAAAAAAAAGAAGAAAAAAGAGGGAAAAAAAGAAAAAGAAAGAAAGACAGAAAGAAAGTATACATGGAAACAAAAGATGGAAAAGAAAGAAAGAAAGAAAGAAAGTATACATGGAAACAAAAGAGGGAAAAGAAAGAAAGACAGAAAGACAGAAAGAAAGAAAGAAAGAAAGTAATACATGGAAACAAAAGAGGGAAAAGAAAGAAAGAAAGAAAGAAATTAATACATGGAAACAAAAGAGGGAAAAGAAAGAAAGAAAGAAAGTATACATGGAAACAAAAGAGGGAAAAGAAAAGAAAGACAGAAAGACAGAAAGAAAGAAAGAAATAAAGTAATACATGGAAACAAAAGAGGAAAAGAAAGAAAGAAAGAAAAAGAAAGAAAGAAAAGTAATACATGGAAACAAAAGAAAGGGAAAAATAAGAAAGAAAGAAAGAAAGTATACATGGAAACAAAAGAGGGAAAAGAAAGAAAGAAAAGAAAAAGGAAACAAAAGAAAAAAAAAGAAAGAAAGAAAGAAAGTAATACATGGAAACAAAAGAGGGAAAAGAAAGAAAGAAAGAAAGTATACATGGAAACAAAAGAGGGAAAAGAAAGAAAGACAGAAAGAAACAAAAAGAAAAAGAAAGAAAGAAAGAAAGTATACATGGAAACAAAAGAGGGAAAAGAAAGAAAGAAAAAGAAAAAGAAAGAAAGAAAGAAACAAAGAAACAAAAGAGGGAAAAGAAAGACAGAAAGAAAAAGAAAGAAAGAAAGCAATACATGGAAACAAAAAGAGGGAAAAAAGAAAGAAAGAAAGAAAGACAAAGAAAAAGAAAGAAAGAAAGAAAGAAAGTACATGGAAACAAAAGAGGGAAAAAGAAAGAAAGAAAGAAAGTAAACAAAAGGAAAAGAAAGAAAGGAAAAAGAAAGAAAGAAAGAAAGAAAGTATACATGGAAACAAAAGAGGGAAAAGAAAGAAAGAAAGAAAGTATACATGGAAACAAAAGAGGGAAAAGAAAGAAAGAAAGAAAGTATATATGGAAACAAAAGAGGGGAAAGAAAGAAAGAAAGAAAGAAAGAAAGAAAGTATACATGGAAACAAAAGAGGGAAAAGAAAGAAAGAAAGAAAAAGACAAAAGAAAGAAAGAAAGAAAGTAATACATGGAAACAAAAGAGGGAAAAGAAAGAAAGAAAGAAAGTAATACATGGAAACAAAAGAGGGAAAAGAAAGAAAGACAGAAAGACAGAAAGAAAGAAAGAAAGTAATACATGGAAACAAAAGAGGGAAAAGAAAGAAAGAAAGAAAGAAAGTATATATGGAAACAAAAGAGGGAAAAGAAAGAAAGAAAGAAAGAAAGAAAGACAGAAAGAAAGAAAGACAGAAAGAAAGAAAGAAAGAAAGAAAGAAAGTATATATGGAAACAAAAGAGGGAAAAGAAAGAAAGAAAACAGAAAGAAAGAAAGAAAAGAAAGTATACATGAAACAAAAGAGGGAAAGAAAGAAAAAGAAAGAAAGAAAAAGAAAGAAAGTATATATGGAAACAAAAGAGGGAAAAGAAAGAAAGAAAGAAAGAAAGACAGAAAGAAAGAAAGAAAGAAAGAAAGTATATATGGAAACAAAAGAGGGAAAAGAAAGAAAGAAAGAAAGAAAGACAGAAAGAAAGAAAGAAAGAAAGAAAGTATACATGGAAACAAAAGAGGGAAAAAAGAAAGAAAAAGAAAGAAAGAATATGAAACAAAAAGAAAAAGAAAGAAAGAAAGACAGAAAGAAAGAAAGAAAGTATATATGGAAACAAAAGAGGGAAAAGAAAGAAAGAAAGAAAGAAAGAAAGACAGAAAGAAAGAAAGAAAGAAAGAAAGAAAGAAAGAAAGTATACATGGAAACAAAAGAGGGAAAAGAAAGAAAGAAAGAAAGACAGAAAGAAAGAAAGAAAGAAAGAAAGAAATGGAAACAAAGAGGAAAGAAAGAAAGAAAGAAAGACAAAAGAAAGAAAGAAAGAAAGAAAGTATATATGAAACAAAAGAAAGAAAGAAAGAAAAGAAAGAAAGAAAGAAAGAAAGAAAGAAAGAAAGAAAGTATACATGGAAACAAAAGAGGGAAAAGACAGAAAGAACTCAAAGAAATAAAATTTGGGTAACGAATGAGAATTAACTAAAATAACAAACAAACGAAGAAGAGAAAACATTTATCGATCTGAAGAATGAATGATAAAGTAATGAAGAAGAACAAAAACGAAAATATATAAAAGAAAGTGAGAGGTTGCGTCTATTGATATTCCATTGATTATTTCAAGGGTAACGGCTGGTCACTGACAAGCAAACACAGAATTCTAGACGTTGGATTTTTGCTTGCTACTTTTATCTATTAGGCTATATATTCATTTTTATTTTAAAACTATTGAAATATTGAAACTATTATTGAAATAGGCTATTTATTGAACAGTGAAGTGGTATAGGGAGTTAGTGACGTATTGATTAATACTTTAATTTAGACTGCTTAAAATAGAAGGGGCATTTCTTATGACCCATTCGATCTCCGGAATTCTCTGCGCAATAATTTTTCGTTATATAAACTCTCAGGGTAACTAAGCGTAGTGTCAAACTCTTCTCTAATGAGCAGGCAACAGGTTGTACTCGATAAGGGACGATACTGGATCTGACCTGGACAAGAAGTTGTTAAAAGCCACCATCGCCTAAAAGGGCTTAGCATTTGAAAAGAAAACGAAAGTCAGAAAGTGAATAAAAATACGTGCTACAAATCGCCAATTTTGATCAATCTTCCAAACTTGTGGTCAGCGCTCCGCCATTATCCCGGCCCACTCATTATTTTTTATCGTTTTAGGTACCAAAATGCGAGTTAGTTAATATAATTGTCTTCAGTTACATTTGTTTTTCCTTACGTTCCTTTCGTCCTATTGCCGCCGGCTCCATCTCGTTTCCAAGAATTTATTTTCTTCTTTGTTGACCGTTACCTTTATGAAGATGGCGTTGAATTCGCCGCCAACGTACAGTTTCAGGTCGAGTAGGTTCCACTTTAATCAAAACATGCTCCCAACAACCATTACATATCACCATTTGGCTTTGCAAGAGTTAGTTGGAGGTGAAAAAAATCAAAGTAAAAGAAAGTGTCGACGGCATAAATTTGTTTAAAGTGGATCTCAGCTTGCCAGGAAGTGAACCACACACTTGATTTCCTGACCTTCCTCTGCGACATATGCGGAATGAGACATGCAGAATCCAATTATGGACTGCTGCTGACCCCTTTATAACTTCGAGTGGCGCCTTCTGTAGCTTGTCCATCAAGCGTAGCCCTCTTCATGCGCTGGTTCAACCATTGAGATCTTTTATAATCATCATCCGCTTGTTTCACAACTGGGGTCTTTGGCGAAGTGGGGAGGCGTTGAATCTGGGTCCCCGTCTTCAACTTTTCTCCCAAGGGTAGCTCTACCAGAAGTTTAAGACATCACAGTCATTGGACCAAATATACAAAATAACAAACAATGCGAAATGCCCATTTTGGGGACAGTGACACTTTTACATCAAAGTAAGTTTCAATAACCCTATTTAAGAAATTTCTTCTCTCGTTCGGACATCCCGGAGTCTATATCTTCTAAGTTTTATTTTTGTACCTGAAACATAAACAGAGTAATTTTAAAGCAGTTACCGTGTTTTTTAAATCCTTATTATTTCTTCATATTATAACCATTATATTTACTAAGCGCACGTATTTAAGTAGCATGTCTGATGCTAACCCCCAAAGGGAAGGAGTCATTGCGCCTTTTTGGAATAACGTTTTCAACTGACGTGAAATGGAAACAGTATATTAAATCAATTGCTTAGTCTGCAGCTAACAAAGTTAGTTCACTGTGTTGTCATAGAAATTTTTCTCGGCAAAATTTATATTACATATTTATCGATTATACTTTGAATATTGCTGGTTTGGAGCTCCTGCTATTTATTAGAGATTGTTGATAAAATCCAAACAAGAATTTGCAATGTCATTGGAGCTAACCTGGCATCTCGGCTTCAGTCCGTCTCCCACCGCCGTAATATTTTGTCCCTGTCTCTTTTCTATAAATAGTTACATGATAGCTGTTCTGATAAACTTTCCTCTTCGATTTTGTTTCATATTGTAAATAGTCATTGGGGCTAGTTTTTAAAATGCTGTTTTATTGCCCACCCACACACACAGATAATCAATTGTACATATGGGGACTAGTTAGGATTTTCATAGAGACAATGAGGTATTATGGTGAATGTAGTAAGAAAGGTAAGTAAGAATGTGCTGTTTTGGTGTTAGGAATATTGCGGTATGTTTGGGTCAGTGTTTGTGGCTAGCTAAGTTAAGACAGATGAAGACCGTCCTTTTCCCCTCTTCTCCATCTTGGCCTTGTGCCACGTTTTGTAAATATTACAAATAAACATCAATTTCCTCTATGGCACCTAGACTTTATGAATTTAAGCGCAGTACTAGCTTGGCGGAAAGATCTCATTTTACAGTTGAAATTTGCTCGATGTAACGGCAAGTTAACAGTTTCTTCTGTCACACTTATCACATGTGGAACTCTCTTCCGGATTCTTGTTTCCCAGTCAAGTTTGATCCGCACAAATTTAAATGCAATGTCCATCGTTATCTTCCCTCTTCTTAGTTCTTGTTCTTTCGTCCTCTCTCCTTAATAGTAGTATTTTTTTCATGTACTCTAACACTCAGTAAACCCTTGCGCCCTAGTGGCTTTATTGCCTTGCTTGATGTAAAATGTTAAAAAGAAGACATCCTTGCTTTTTTGTGGGGTGCTAAATAAACGTCTACCTGTCCTTGAGATCAAAACATACCAAAACGAGCCATGTAATAAGCTTAGTTTTTTGCAGAAAGCGACGAGCTTGAAAGAGGTGAGAATCGAACCAAAAGTAATAATCAACTCGACTGATCACATTAACTATTCTTCTTCGTCTGTGTGCCGTGTTTCTTCAGTACGTGAGCGATCAAGAGGGCTTAGAAAATTTGATACTCATAGGACAGATTGAAAGTAAAAGGGACCGAGGAAATAAGCAAATAACCTACCTAACGAGATCGTGTAAATGGTTGCCAGACCAGAAATTAGGAGCGGTAGCACAAAGACAAACACTGCTAAGAACTAGGACAGGAAATTGTGGAGAGCCATGATCGCCCACCTCAAGAAGAGACATAGTACATAGAAGAAGAAGATAAGTTTCCTAGTCGTTCTGTTGGCGGTGGCTCTCAGGAGTTCCGGCATTCTCATGTCCGTCCACTCTTTGATGTTGTCTGACCAGCTTTTGCGTTGCTGTCCCCACTTGCGTCCGCTTTCATCAGTTCCTTGCGTGATTGCCTTGCATAGGCAGTTATGCCTTGTGATTTGCCAAACCATAACACCTTCTGACGCTTAATAGTGGCGGGAAGAGATTCCTGTCGCCCCACGAAACTTCCGTTTTACAGGAATCTCACTACGTACATAGTCATTGCTCTTGTACTCCCAGTAGGAATTGCGGAGAAACTTTCTCAAGCATTTGTTCTTGAAAGCCCGGATCATTTTCTGTCTCACCCAGTAGGGGTGGAAGGATACGCCCAACAATTTGTAGAGCTTGAACTTGGCATAGAAGCTGTTGTTGCTCTTTTATATCCTTTCTAGTTTAGCCGCTGTTTCTGTGACTGTGGCGAGCCGTGTTCGGATTTCTGCGTTGCAACTGCCATCTATTAAGATAATAGGCTAATAATAAAGATAATAGACTATTAATAAATTAATTTGCTTTAGATAAAAAGGACATGACCCATGTTACTATCGATGTGCCGAGAAAAAGTAAGTACTCGTTAATTGATTTATAATTTCCTCTTAAGCTTTGTGGATATATAGAAACCAGATAGAAAAACACAGATTTCACTCTGAGCAATGAGCAACGACGAAGATTTAGAGAAAATGGAAACAAAAAGGACACTTATACAGCAGAAAGAAACACTTGAAATTTCTAGAGCAAATAATGAGGAAAGATGGCTTAGAAAATTTGACACTCACGGGACATATGGAAGGCAAGAAGGACAGAGGAAAGAAACGCCTAACCAAAATAAAGATGTCGTGTAAACGATTGGCAAATGAGGAGAGATAACGAAAAGACAAGATTTACCAGCTACAAAGGACAGGATTTTGGAGCGAGATATCATCGTCAATGTCGTGAAGGGACTCAGCGCATAGAAGAAGGATAGATATTTATGACATTCTCATAGATACTGATAACTTCCGGAACTTCCGGAATATATATAAATTTTGGTTTTAATGGGTATTAGCCATTGCTCAAGCCCATGACTGGGATAGTTTCTGTGATCCAGGTGTAAGACTGAATTTCTCAGACTGGTTTTAAACGCAGCAGGTCGTCTCCCGCTGCACTAGGAAGACAAATAATTCACATTCTTTGCACCATTGTTCCTTTGTCTGTCCCTATATGTACTCATGTAAGCTTAGCAAATATCGATTTTCGTGTCTTCTACGAGCTTTCATCGGAAAAGATTATTTATGACCTCTGATACTAAAGCATTGGTTATATATAATCGAGAGGAAATAATTTGGTTCTATTCTGTATGGTAAACGCTTATAATGGATCATAATGTCATCAGCCGAAATCAGAAACGACCAGTGTGCCTTGTAGCAGAAACTGAAACGTTTTTGGCCAGTCTAAGCATGGAATTTATTCTATGACTAAATAAAGCCTATCTTCAGGTTCGCAGATTTTCTTATTTTTCTAACCAGAATCTATCTTGCACCTTTCTATGTCTACCCCTGCATCGAATATTGCTCCCACATCTGGTCTGGTGCTTCTACTATGCATCTATAGATTTTTGAAAATTCCAAAGAATCTGCCATATTATCCGTCTTGACCTGGCCGTCCTAGGATATGACGATAAACTACATCTGCGTCCTGGGTAAGACGATAAACTACATCTAGCAACAAGGCCTCTGATCAGGAGGTTTTGAGGAGCGTGGAACTACCTCTTAATTGCTGGTGTTCCCAGGTCCACCCTGACCCGGGGTGGTAGCACCTGTTAGGGTCCCAGCTATGGGCAAATAGTTAATCCCGAAACTGAGGTAAAAAGCATTATAAAAGTGTAAAAATAGGTTTTAATACCAGAAATACTTTGTAAAAAATTATTGCCAGAAATAAATTTTTGAAGAAAAAA